GGGCGAAAGGGCCGGCCATTCGTGTCGAAAAAACGCTGGCGGTTTTTTTTTTTTGGTTGTTTTTTTTGGGGGGGGGGTGGTTAGGTATGCGAAGCCAGGAGTTTCGCTTCTCCCCCCTGCTTTTGATGGTTTTTATATTTGCTGTTTGTTCGGGGAGTGGGGGTGTGGAGGGGAATGGGGAATCCATTTTGGAGGGATTCACTCTGGCGGACTTGTTTGTACGGCGTCCCGTACATGGTTACAAAAACCCCGGAATGGGGGGAGAGCCAGGGAGGGTCAAAGGGCTTTGAGTTGGCTGAGGACTCCTTGCAACGGGTAAGGGGTGGATTAGGAATGTTTGAAAGCTGCCATCTTACGGCACCCCCACACCAACCAGACGGTTTGTAGCATACACAGGGGCAGGTTCCCTTCTTGCAGTGTGTGACCTCCAACCTGCGGTCCCAAGCCGACCTTTCGACCTCTTATGGTTTCCATGGCAAGCATTCAAGCCCATGCCACTGCGGAAGATGGGGACAATTTCACATCTCCACCCAGATGGTTTTTTTAGGATTTCGGCAGCTTGTTTGTAAATGTTCACAGCTGGGGCGCCCTGCTCGTTTTCACCTCAACCAGCGCCGGGTGGACCTGTTTGTTGGCTTGATTTCTCGTGGCGCCGCTCGGCAGTCGGCAGGCCGGCCTTCTTCGCGAAGGCAGTGCCCTGCCAGCGGGCGAGTGGCGGCGGAGAGCCGGCTCCGGGTCCAAGCCCAGGCATGGCTCCTGGCGGGTTTCGGCGTGGCGGTGGGGTTGGGGGCTGGAGTTCTAAAAACTCCCCCGGTTGGAAAGCAAGGGGCCCAAGGTCCCAAATTCTTAATTAGTGGGTCATTTCGAAATTTCTTTCTCCTGACTTGTTATTCAGGGGGTCTGGTTCCAACTTGTTAGCTCCCCTTGGTTGTGGGAATTGGGGTTTCGGAGAAGGAACTTTGGGCCACGCTGCGGACTTGGGTATTGGTCCTGGCTTGCCCGCGATTCCCCCTTGCCATGCGCAGAAAGAAAGAAAAGAAAGAAAGAAAAGAATGAAAGAAAACAGATAAAGATAAGAAAGAAAAGAAAGAAGAAAGAAAGAAAAAGAAAAGAAAAGGAGAAAGAAAGAAAGACAGAAAAGAAGGTGTTCAAAAATGGAAGGTAAGAAACAATAGAAAACAAAGCCTGCTTATAATGGCAGGGTGTGCTTGAAGCACCCTTGGTGGGGAGGGCGTTTGATGTTGGCATGGCCGTGAAAACCACGTTTTGTCGCGTTTTTCACTGGGAAACCCAAAGGGAACACCATCTTGGGGGGTCGTATACTTTTTTCTCAGCCGGCCGGTCGTGGGGGAGTTTGGGCTTGGGGTGGAGCGGCGCCGGCTCTTGGAGCGCGCGCTATTCGCGAGGGGGAAGCTGTGCGGCGGGCTCGCTGCGGCGAGCAGAAAGCGCGGCGAGAAGACCGGCGGCTTGGCCGCGCCTTTTCCCCAAAAAGCTGAAAACTGTATAGGTTCTTTGAGCGTGAGGTGCGGGTGCACCTTTGCAAGATTGATGGTAGGGTGCTGCTCTGTGCAGGTGTTGATTGATGAAGTTGATTTGAATGCTTGCTCCTTTTGTTGGCCCGGATGCCAGGGACCTGTGGCCTAATGGATAAGGCGTCATTGTGTGCTTGAACGCCATGTCAATGGTCCCTGGTCCGTCTCTCCTTTAAAAAAAAAAAAAAAACTTGCAACCGTTGGCACGTGCTTCGCTATTTGGGGTCTTTTTTTTGTTTTTGGGGGGGGGGTAAGGACTCAAAAAAGGATCGTCCATATTTCAAGTTTCGGTTGGTCTCATCTTGGTTTCCCCTTCATGCACTCTGGCCACAACCCCAAGAAGGATACTGCAAAAGGCGCACCGGCACGCACAGCTGTTCTGTGTGTCTGTTTGTTTTTGAAGATGCGAACCTCGCAAATGGACTTGCCTTGTGGAGTTTCAAAAGCCTTGCCTTGTGAGCTCGCCCCTGATCCCTCATTTCAGGTGAATTGTTACAATTCATCCAGCGGTTTGCATTCTTCTCCATCTTTTTCCCTCGGTCGTCATTTGGTTTTGGGGGTTGTTTGAGAGGGGGCCACGGCTGAGTGGGGTCCAACGGTTACCTGAGCCTTTGGTTTACTGTAGGATCGGGACCGGGAGGCTCCAAGCAACGGGGCACAGGCGTGGTTTGGCATGATGAATGCTTGACGGGCTGAGCCGCTTGCATTGTGTTTTTTTCTTTTCCTCTCGGCGTGGCACCTCACAATAGCGAGCGCACCTGGAAAGGCGAGCTAACACATTAGATGCCTGGCCTCCAATGTTCAACCTACTTCCAATCATTGTGGAATGCTGACGGGCGGGTTCTGCAACACAACTTGCCTTTTGCCCCCCCCCCCGCCCTCTCCAAAACCCACTGCTCCATGATGCATGGAAACAAGGCAGCCGTCTTAGACCGCGGGCATCCCTGCGTTCGGCGAACCGTTTCCCGCGAAGCGAGAACAAAAAAAAAAAAACTATCCGGCGCCTTCGAGGTGGTACGGCATGACCGACGAGGCCTCCGGAGGCCTGGCGTTGGTGCCGCTCTCGGGGCTCTCGGGCTCCACCATCGAGAGGCTGCTGGAGGATGGGCATGGCATGGCCTCGCATGGGCGACGCTCCGTTGGGGCGCGGCGGGTCTTCTTTTTGTTTTGTTTTTGTTTGGGTTTGTGTCGATTTTTTGAGGGAGTGCCCCCCCCTTCCCCCACGTTTTCCTTTTTCTTTTTTTTTTTTTGCGGGGAAAGAAAAACTGAAGACTTCAGAGGAAAATGGCTTTCAGGGTCACCAGGGGTTTCTGGAATCCATTGGCTAGGCTTCAAAGAGCGGGGGGCTATGGGTTTTAG